TAAAATGTATACCAAAAAGCAAAAGCGTTTGACAAGAGTTGGACCAAAGGAAAGGCGCATTGAATCCAAAACACAAAAAGTCTGTTTGAAAAAAATGTCAGAACCGATGGCAGCGCTGTATTGAGTGTTAAATTTCTCCACATCTCTGCATTCATTTGAATGGAAACAACTTTTTTCCAACGAATCCCCTCTCTATCGGTGAACACCAGGTGCCCAATAAAGGCCCAATAGAGACCCCACTCCCTCAGCTGTGTGTCTCTCACTTCAATGCCAAAAGCACTGCACTCTCTATCCATTGATTCATTACTCGGAATAAAGGATTGAACACAAGGACACACTTTTAGCTGGCTATCAAAGGATTTGCATCTCATAAAAAGGGTCGGCACTCATAATAAGCCCGGTGTGGCTGCGGTCTTCATCACAAGCTTTACTAATATTTAGAAAACAATGCATTGATTTAAGTGATAGTAAGAAAAGTTAGCTCATTGTATTGCCTAAAAATAAATCTCTTTATAAATATAGTAATACATTAATATAATAAAAACAATTTTCGGAAATACTCTCTCTCTCTCTCTCTCTCTCTCTCTCTCTCTATTTCTCTCTCTCTCTCTCTCTCTCTATTTCTCTCTCTCTCTCTCTCTCTCTCTCTGTCCGGAATGACTGGTATTCCTCAAAGAGAAGAGATTTTTGGAGAAATAAAACCAGAAGAAAGACAAGACTGAAGAGGTGGCCATCGCTGATGAGTGCAAACCTGAACGCTTCATGCAGTTCCGGAATGTTGAGGCAGAGCAGAGGCATAGGCTGTGCAAAGAGCGCACATATACTATAAAAGTTAGTTTATTTTCTTAATACAATAAGTGGTAATCAATTGCATCATTAAAACTTGATTTGAAAATGTGAACTCATTTTTTCCATCACTTAAATACTAGCGAATAAATACCGATTACTCCTGGTATACACCAAACACACCGTTTTGTTGTTTATTTGAAATATTTATTTTAAAAATTCAATCGACGAATAACTGGTATGTGTCTTGACATCCAGTTTATGAAAAATATTTTTTAAAGTTTTTAAGTGGCATTTAATATGAGTGTCATATAAATTATATAAATTTCTAAATGCATTTACTTTAAGATCACAGTCAGTGACAAATATTTCCAAAAATATTAATTAATTTTTTATATTTGTTAAATATAAAACTCATTTATAGCACACTCATAGACAACTTATTATTTAATAATTTTTAAAATGTGTTTTATAGTAATTTACACTCAATATTTGTTTGAATTTATGTGCGGAACAAAATGTCTTTGAAGTTCAACAAAATCGCAAAAATAACTTTTAATTAGTTAGGATTTAACATTAATTTGTTTGTCATTTAATTTGATAGAAATATTTTCATATATAAAATGTTATTTTAGCATACTGTAGTTTCAAAAACTAAATTCCGCAAACATTCTGAATTGACAAATACTATATTAAAAATTATCATATATTAAACATTTAGCATTAAGAGTCAAATAATTAAATACATGAACTGATTATAAAAAAGTCAATTCCTGTAATTTTAAAATTTTTTATAGTATTAGTCATCCATTAATTCATTAATTATATAATAATAGGTCTGAGAATAGGGAACACGTGTTCTCTAAAAGCAATAAATTTGAAGATTTATTCGTTAAACACGTTAATTAAGTGTAAGATTAAGGCTATTATGCTTTAGGAGGCAATCATTTGCTAAATTATATTTTCATAATGTTTTCCAAATAAATTCAACTCATATTAACTCTTTATCTAATTTAAATCAAATTGTTTGCTCGCTATTGATGACAATCTGAAACCAATTTTTAGGAAATAAACTCTAATTTATAGCCAGTGAACCAAATTTTCATAATTTACACATTTTTTATCCAAAATATTGTGTTTAATGAAAGAGCCTTTCATTACATTTATAAATAACACGGAATTTCCGAAAATTGTTTTTATTATATTAATGTATTACTATATTTATAAAGAGATTTATTTTTAGGCAATACAATGAGCTAACTTTTCTTACTATCACTTAAATCAATGCATTGTTTTCTAAATATTAATAAAGCTTGTGATGAAGACCGCAGCCACACCGGGCTTATTATGAGTGCCGACCCTTTTTATGAGATGCAAATCCTTTGATAGCCACCTAAAAGTGTGTCCTTGTGTTCAATCCTTTATTCCGAGTAATGAATCAATGGATAGAGAGTGCAGTGCTTTTGGCATTCAAGTGAGAGACACACAGCTGAGGGAGTGGGGTCTCTATTGGGCCTCTATTGGGCACCTGGTGTTCACCGATAGAGAGGGGATTCGTTGGAAAAAAGTGGTTTCCATTCAAATGAATGCATAGATGTGGAGAAATTTAGCACTCAATACAGCGCTGCCATCGGTTCTGACATTTTTTTCAAACAGACTTTTTGTGTTTTGGATTCAATGCGCCTTTCCTTTGGTCCAACTCTTGTCAAACGCTTTTGCTTTTTGGTATACATTTTAGGTGAAAACATATGCCGAGGAGGAAGGTTAGCTTTTTTACTATCAGCTCAACTCTTATCTGAATTGATTGTTTACTCCAGAATTAAGTTCAGAAATTATTTGTTTATTACTAAAGCAAACGAAAGCTGTTTTAATATGACTTTTATATTTGTGTCAAATTAGTGGAAATAATGGGCGAAAAAAGTAGTCAATTGTGTTTAAAAAGTTTTGTATGAGTTTTGTTTCGCACGACAAACAGTGAGACCGCAGAAAAGCACTCATTAACTCATTACATACCAAAATGTATGTAAGAATACGGGTGTTGGGCGCCGACACTCAGACATATCATATAAATTGCTGCTCTATTAATGAATCCATGGATGAGTTACGCAAAAAAGTGGCCCAAAAACTCAATTACGACAACATTTCACTCGTCAGGCTCTTCTTCGACGGCAAAGAGGTAATTGTCGGACAGTTGCCATTGAATTGTAGACTTTTTGACAACTTTTCAAAATAGTTTTCATTATTATTGATCAATAGTTTTGATTATTAAAAATAATAATGTTTCTAAACATACAGTTAAATGATGGCTATTCCCTATACGAGTACAATATAAAGCTTAATAATGTGATTCACGTTATGCTTCGCTCGCAATCTCTTATGAACGAGAGGTCTATTACTATCAGCGACTCAATTATGGCTCAAAATAATGAGACCAATGCTGATGACTATAATAAGGATGAGAATGCCATCGAAGAGGACGACTATTATCGCATTGGAGATCATGTGGACGCTGTGGATGGGGAGACGGGGGCCTGGTTTGAGGCCACTATCATTAGGATAACGTCTAACTGTAGGACTTATGAACACAAATATTATGTAGATTTCGAGAAACAATCGATTGGTTCTAATATAGGACTAATGTTGCAACAAATAAGACCTCAATCGTCGAGACTTATATCGTATGAAGACATTAGGGAAGGGGAGGCAGTGTTGGTTAACTTTAACAATGATTCAGCTGAGGAAAGGGGTTATTGGTATGAGAGTTACGTCGAGAAAAAATTGCTAACAAAGCGAAAACTTTTTGCTTCCATACATTTGGCGGATATTGTACTCAAAGGACAAAAAATTCAATTCATTCACGAAATGTATAAAATAGAAACCAATGTTAAGATAACTGAGCGCTCGAGAGATAATGATTTACTTTTGAAATGCGGGCCCAAAACTAAACGTGAGTTTTATTTTTCAAACTCTATTTCTATTCACTTGAATCTATTGAATAAAATATGGTTTTATATACTATTAGTGCAAAAGTATACTAAAGAATAAACAAATGTTTTAAATAAAAACTTTTATTCGTGATAATCATATTTCAAATCAACACTACAGTACAGCAGGAGTTTAGTATTTGTTGAGCATTTAGTTAAATGTAAAAATACATGTTTGCAAATATATATTAGATTTTCATTTTATTATTTATTTTAATGAATGCATTCTCAACAGGATTTGAATAAATTTAAATTTATTTGCAATTCTCGAGTCAACTATTTGTGGAGTTATAGCTGTAGCACCGGTAACCCATTTTTCTCTGTCCGGTAACCTATTGTCTTACAAATATGATTGTAATTTTTATTTATAAAACATAACATTGTTTTTAGACAAACATTTTCAAAGCTAATCCCATGAAAAAATAAATACTGGATTCAATGCCAAAATCTACAATAAGTTGTATAACTGAAAGGACTGCCAGTATTTGCTCTTATAATTGAAATAAAATAAATAAATAAAACACAATGTAAATGAAATATTTGCACTTTTTATGTGGTATAAAATAGTAAGGAATTTAACTTTAATTGGAGAAGTTTTAAAAAATATGCACTTTTTTAAGGAGTTAACCTCAAATTATAAATTGAACACAAATAATATGCTAATTACAAAACTAAGTTTATAACTCAATTACTTTGTTGTATAATATTATAGCAAATGATGATTACATTGACAGGTAATACACCTCCGGATTGCAATGAATGCTCTGATAAGGCATCGCTTGACTGCAAGAAGTGTTCGTGTAATGAATGCGGAGCCAAATCTTCACCGGAAAAGCAGATTATTTGCGACGAATGTAACGCTATTTATCATATCTGGTGTCTTAAGACACCATTGGACACGATTCCCGACGAGGACTGGTATTGCGATGAGTGCGCCAACACTGATAGAAACCAATTGATTGCCATTCAATCGACTCAATTGAAGAGAAGGAAGAATAGTCTGAATCGCATCGGCACTAAAGATTGGGGTCGAGGGATGGCATGTGTGGGAAGGACTCAAATCTGTGACAGCGTTCCGAAGAACCATTTCGGACCCATTCCGGGCGTAGAGGTGGGGATGTGGTGGCGCTTCCGCTTCCAGGCCTCCGAAGCGGGCGTTCACTCGCCTCTCGTGGCCGGCATTCACGGCAAAGAGAACTCCGGCGCCTATTCTATAGTCTTCTCGGGTTCTTATGATGAAGATATCGATTTAGGGCTCGAGTTCTACTACACGGCATCGGGAGGTAAAGACTCGTCTCATAAGTGTCGAGTGGGAGGACCGCAGACTAAGGATCAGGAGTTAAAGCGTTGTAATAAAGCGCTGGCACTTAATTGTTACGCACAATTCAATGGTGAAAAGGGAGCCAATGCTGGGCTGGAGTGGCGAAAGGGAACTCCAGTTAGAGTGTTAAGAAGTGGCAACGCAAGGGGTGCCGCCAAGAAGTCACTATATTTGCCAAAAGTTGGCGTCAGATATGACGGAATTTATAAAGTGGTGAAGTACTGGTCACAAACGGGTGACTCAGGGTTTCTGGTTTGGAGGTATCTGTTGAGGCGAGACGACCCCTCACCCCCTCCCTGGACTGTTGAGGGCAAGAATCGCATTAAAAGACTCGGACTCACTATTATCTATCCCGACGGTTGGACGAAAGAGACCGCATCCAAGAGGTCTTATAAAATGGATGAAAAAGTTTTTAAAAATAAAAGACCAAAAATTGTGTCGTTTTCGATACCAAAGCATATATTAATTCTCATAGAAACCGATAAAATAAATAGAAAATTATGGCAAACAGTGATATCGCATACAAAAGACGGCAAAAAGGTATTTATTATTTTTTATTGAATTTTGAGTTGTTTGATTTATGTATGTTTTTTTGTTCCGGTTTATTATAAATAGAAATTCATCGAAAATGTTGAGTTAAACTTCAAATGTGTGTATTGTTTGGATGTCGTTAAGAGTCCGATAACCACTCATTGTTCTCATAATATATGCAAAGTATGTGAGAATTGAATACTTTTGAAATAATTATCACTAATTATCGTATATTAATACAATGTTAACGACAGGAATGTTTGGAGCAGTCATTCAAATCTGGAGTCAAAACGTGTCCCATTTGTCGATCAGAACTCAAGAATATTAGAAAATTTTCTATAAACAAGGAATTGAACCAAATATTATCGAAATTATTTTCAAGTGATATCATGAATAAATAATTAACACTATTATTATATAATAAAATTAATTATTTTAAAACTAAGTTCAATATACCGGTAAACATTAGATTGAAATGAATGCGTTTATTATTTAAAATATTGTAATTCTAATGAAATATATCATAGGATTGGAGAGAATTACAGAAATAAATATCTTTAAAAAATGATAAAATGAAACAAATTAATGAAAATCTTTTATTTTTCATAATTAAACTGATTTATGAAAACCCAAACATATAATTAGAAAACATATTAAAAGTGTTGATCAGTTGATTACTTCTTCATTTTACACAAGTATCTCAAGGGAAGCATTTTTATGTCATCCGAATCGCCAGAATTAAACGACACGACGCCCTCATTGCCGTCAATACTCAGTAGAGTTCCGGTGTTCTCGCGGTCCTCACCGAAGATTACTTTAAACTAAAAACCAAATTATCATTAAAATGGGATCAATTCAAATGCTGAACATCAGAACATACCTTATCCTCAGGTCCGGGCTGTACTGGTTCTAAATGCTCGGACAGTATGTTCACAACTCTGTCCTCTTTCAGTAGAAATACGGCACACATTCCGCCAGATATTCCCCTAACAATTCCCGTTTGGCCGATGAGGTCGTCGTCGTCGTGACAGTCTTTGATGCGAACCTCGATGTCTGTGGTCTGCCATTCCACTGAAAACGACTGTTCCATTCCGGCGCCGGGAGTTTGCGGGTTAAAGTGCGGCGATGAAACTCCTGGAGTCATCGGTGAGTAACCATAGCCTGTGGGCGATGGAGAGGGGCCTACACTGTGAGGCCCGTTGTAGGCGGGACTGGGAGTCATATATCCAGCGGAGGCAGGACTGGGAGCAGTGCCCGGGACGCTGTAAGTGGAGGGCGAAGGAGTGGCCGCCGGACCGTACGGTGAGTAGGAATGATCTGAAGAGGCGTACATTCCAGGAGTTTGTGGAGTGTATGGACCGCCCGGTGGAGTCTCGGGGTTTGGATACCCGGGTGTCGGAGGATTCATATACGAAGGGTTTGACGGAGAGGGTGACGGCTCGTCATAATCGAAATCAGGTCTGGGAGTAGTAGAAGCCGTTGGATCCCAAATAGAGGACGTGTGGACAGGCGTGCGCGACCCGTCGTGCATAGGAGTGGCGCCTCCTCCTCCATAAGCGGGTGTTCGTGAGCCGTCGTGAAGCGGTGTATTGGCCCCGCCATACATCGGCGTACGACTACCGGTGCCATACATTGGTGTCTGACTGCCATACATAGGCGTGTTTCTGGCATAAGTGGAGACACCACCGCTTCCTTTATCTGCACCGCCACTGCCGACGACCACAATACGTGTCTTATCGACAGTAATGGTCTGACACGTGGCGTGCAGTTCCACACGAGCTGTGGTTCCGATGGCGTCCTTAACGATACCGATGTATCCCTTATACGTTCCCTGAGTTATCTTAATCGTCTTCCCAATGAGCTCCAGATCCGAGCGGTCGCGACCGCCTTTGGAGCCACTGAACTGTCGATTCTGTCCGCCGCCGCCGCCGCTTGACGGGTGGGCCGGAGATTGTATTCGCGGAGACATATACCCGGCGCTGGTGTTCATAACACCGGACGCTGACAGGGGTCTGGAACCGCCGGCGAGTATAAGATGTCTGGTTTTGCAGACAAAAATACCGCCGTTTTCTAACATCATTCGCGAGTATAGAAAGGCTGCGTTGCGGTACAAGTGCTTAATCTCTCCCTGCCTTCCGGAGTGCGGGCCGTCAATCACCTTCACGTGGTCTTTCACTTGGATTTGGTTCTGTTCCGAATCGAGTGCCACCGCTCGTCGGGAGTCCCTCTTCTTGGAAACGGCCTGATGTTTGACGTGAACTAACTTTCCGTTTTGGTTCAGTATCTGAAAGTTCTCCTTCTCTAAGCGCACAATCACACCGACAGTCTGTGCGTCCATTTGCACCAAATCTCCCCATTGGAACTGACCCATAGTGTCCACACCAGTGGCCATATCGGCGCACAATTGCAAGTCTTTGGGCAATACCTTTAACTCATGCATCGTTAGGTCAGAGAACAGTACGATCTGAGTGTCCTCTACGCGCACTATGAGTCCGGTGTCGCCCTCATATCGGCCGGCGATCACCTTCACGTGATCACCCATTTTGAAGTATTTTCGCAGTTCGTGCGCCTGAAAGTCGAGCGGATCCGTGAGGTCTTCGTGTTTGGGAATCATTGTTATCTTATTGCCGTCAATAGTAATGATCTTTCCCTGGAGGTGAGCCAACTCTCCCTCACAGACCTCAACGGTATCGCCCGGCGAAAAGCTGTGACCCTTGTCCTCAGCGACAGTGCTTTCACTCAACTGTAATTCAATGCCTTCCGGGTGTTCCTCAAACTTCTCCAACTCAGAGAGGGTTGGCTTCACGCCATCGATCAGCAGAGCAGTGGTGGTGAAGGCTTTGTACAGAAAACCTCTTCGGTATCGATTGGCTTCGAAGATAATAAAGTCGCCGTCGTTTGTAACCTCCCCTCCAATGGCGCGAATGGCGTCCATATCGAAGAGCTTAGGCAGCGGTCGTTTCATCCGCTTTCGCTTCTGACTGTCGTTCTCATTGGACGCCGCCCTCAACGCACCCCTCAGTCGCGTGTAATCTATTCTGGGAATCAGCTTCAGATGGACCTGATTCTGGGCGGTGTCCACATAGTCTACTTGTCCCAAGTCGTCCTTATAGAGACCTCTCTTCAGACGCACCCATTGGTTCACTTTGATCTGAGAGTTATCTTTAGTGACGCGCAACACATCCGTCATCTCATTGATGGGAACCATAGTCTGCCTATAGATCCCAAGCCTTAGGTTTCCCATCCCTTGGATGGCTTGCTTCACGTGAGTCTGTTTGAAGGCCTCGATATAGATGTAGCCTTTGATACCTTCGGGTGCGACGACTGACTTGATAGGCAACGGCTCATCGGTGGTCGAGAAGGCGATGAACTTTCGCATGAGCTGTAAAACCGTTGCCTTCTCTTCGCCGATCTTACACTTAATCATCCATAGGTTGGGGTCTTTGACGCCCGGCATCAGCGCCTGTTGCGTGATATCGTCGGGCAGATCCACGTCCCCGTCGTAGCCCTTCTCGGCCGCTGAGGTCTCCGCGTATTTGCGGCGATAGTAGTCCTCAATCTCGTCCTCTTTCTGCGAGTTCCACATCATATGAATGCGTCGGTGAGACTCCATATCCCTCTGCGACGAGTCATCCAAGTGTTTGTTCTTCTCGATTATCTCATCGGCCCCGTCCTCCCACTCCTCGTCGTCCTCTATCTCGTCGTCCACCTCCGCCTCGTCTAATATGAAGCCTCCATGTCGCGGTTTCTTACGCTTCCGGCGCCGCCGACCGCTCAAGTCGTCTTCGTCCTCCTCATCGTCGTAGTCGTCTTCATCCAAGTCCTCCCCTTCCGGCTCCTCCTCGTCCGCCACTTCCGGCTCTTCTCTCTCCACTTCTTCGGCCTTTGGATTCAATGGACAATCGGTCAATGAAAACAATGCTACAAAAGGGTTCATGCCTCAGATACATACCTCGTTGTCATTGTCTGAGTCTCTGTTGGACTCCTCGCTGTCCGACATTGTCTTCAGTGGTCGTCAATGTGTTCAATGCAATGGCAATGGATTTGAATGAGTCTTCAGTTCACTTCAATTGACAATCACTTCACAGATCAACACAAATGCAATGCATTTACGGCCGACCAGTGCTCTGTTGACAACAGACTGTTGTATACATACAATCCAATCACTATATGTGTTGAGTGACTATTTCATAAACCAATGTTCAATAGCTTTACCCCACTTCCTATTAGCATAAAAGGTACTAAACCTCGAACACAAATAACACATTATATGACATAAAAGAGTAGCTCTAATTGGTTGGACTTGTGATGCATTGAATGAAGTGGTGAAGTGTTGCACTGAATTCAAAGTGTGGACACAATTGTGGGCAAACCTAACCTAACCTAACATTAGACTTACATTTGCTTCTCAATTGAATGCATTGACTCAACACTTAACAAAATGCAGAATATTCTGCACTCAACCCAACACTTCATGAATATGACCACTATTTGTATGAATGATTAGCTGTGAATATATGAATAATTGACAATTAATTAGTAAAATAAACCCAAAATTGTGGTGAAATTTTGATATGAATTGAACGATAAGCATCTTTTAGGCATTCAAATCAGATGCAATACAAAGCAAACTCTTATATAATACTGTATTCATACTTTTTAATCGCTTAAATTTTTATTACATTTAGAAAGTGAGTCAAACTATTATTTTTAGACACAATTCTTAATGAATAATATTCTTAATGATAATCCAATCAAATGTATGATAAGTTTGTTTAGTCGGAGGAATCGGTCGAAACAAATACGGAGAGAGTAATGATAAGTGTGAATGAAAGTCATAATTATAATTATAAACTATAAAATTATGGAAAAGTAATGGTCATCAAGTTTGCAATCATTAGTAACTAATGAATCACAAGATTTTGCTAAAAAATAGTTAGTATTCGGCAATGAGTTGATAGCAATAGACAGTGAATGGCATAGAAAGCAGTGAACGAGTGGTGACTGTAATGACTGCAAGAATGCAATGAATGCGAGAATAGAGTGAAAGTCACGCGAAATGAGTGAAGAAGTGATTCAAAAAGTGATATAAATTGAGAATTCGTTGTCATTTGGAAAACCGTTTCGTTTGAATCACTCTTTCACTGCCTTTTCATTGAATCTCTTGAGTCTCAAGACTATCACCGCATCACCACTGCTCTCATACCACTCGTACACCACTCGAGTGCGCACATCACCGCCAACTGATCCCCACATCCACTCGTATAACCAGTGATCGTGTGAGCGATGGCACCGAAACCGCATTCCGTGGAGTCGTTGAACCCAATGACTGATCCGACGCCGAAGACAGCGCTCGTGAGGGCGGGTCTGCACCTCAAGAATGAGCGCTTCCTCTCGTGCTCTCAATTCGTGCCGAGACCTGGCTTTGGACACAACGGGCGCCGCATTGTCATCAACACCAACCACTTCTCTGTTGACTTCAACCACAAGAAAGTGATCTACAGATACCTGGTGTCCATCGAGTGTCTGCCGCTGGCCTTCAAGCTGTCGGCCGCCGGAGACGAGAGGAGACGCTTCCGGAAGCTGTCGGAGAAGTTGTGTCGCGCCGTCGTCTCGAAAGCCATTGACGAGAACCAGTCGTACGGAAAGCTGTTCTACAATACGTGTCCCGTCTATGACGGCTCCAAATCCATGTTCTCTTGCGGACCGCTCATCGGTATCGCCAGCGATGGTAAGCCGACCCGTATTCTCGTGGAAGTGCCGGACGACCAGTCGATGGACTCGCAGTTCGCCGTTATTATCAAATACACGGCAAATACGATAAGTCTGAACGGTTTGAAGCTATACTTCGATAAGAAGACGAACTCCATTCCCTTCGAGCACATCCAGGCGCTCAACATTGTGCTCAGACAGGGACTCATTGGCTCCAAGATAGCCATCGGTCAGTCCCTATTCAACCCGTCGCCCGACAATCGCATAAACATCGGCGGAGGGAAGCAATTGGCGTTTGGTATCTATCAGTCGCTGAGACCCTGTGTGGGCGGCGCCCAACTGGTGGTCGACCGCTCGTGCACTGCCTTCTGGACCAACGGAACCATTGAGGACTTCGTGAAGAGTCTGTTTCCGTTCAAAGAATGCGAATCAATGATGAGATACAAGTGGAACGACTTCGAGAGGAAGCGCATCGAACGCGAACTCAAAGGCCTGTTCATCGAAGTGAGTCATCTTCGGTTCCACAAGAAGTACAAAGTCCACGGAATCAGTCGAGAGGCCGCTCAAGACATACGCTTCGATTGGACCAAAAGGGGCCGAAGAGGTGAGAAGGTATTCGAGGGCAACGTCTCTGTCGCCGAGTATTTCAAACAGGAATACCACGAACTGAAAGCCCCGCACATGCCCTGCATTATCGTCCGCTGCGGTCAGAGACCCACGTATTTCCCGATAGAGGTGTGCCGTTTGGCCAGTGATCAGCACGTGAGCCGTAAACTCCCGCCGCAACAGACGGCAGAAATGATCCGATTGTGTGCCTCAACGCAACCCAAAGAGCGCTTCGAAACCATCCAAAGGGCGGCCAAAGACATCGCTCTCAACCAGAAATGTCTCAAATATCTCAATGAGTTCTCACTGAAGCTCTCGACCCAACCCATCGGTATGTCCGCCCGAGTGCTCGACGCGCCCGCACTCCTCGAGAGGAATGGCAAACACTGTCTGCCCAGAGATGGCAAGTGGAGGATCGGACAGTTCTATAACTGCGTGGACGTCAAGAAGTGGATTGTCGTGAATCTCGCGAATCTTGAAGACTATCAGATCACGAATTTCATCGATACGCTCAAGAAGTACGGCCAACAGATTGGTATGAATATCAACGAACCCATCTGTCGCGTCAAAATGAGTTATCAGAGGGGACTCCTCAAGGTATGCGCCATTCACACACTCCCCTGTCCTCCCGTTTCTCTATTGTTTATGTCTTGTATTACAGGAGAAGCTCTTCGATAGGGCCGAAGAGAAGTACGGTTTCGTGAATCTGTTCGTCTTCTTAGGCATCGAATCAGACGAATGCTATTATGAGATCAAGAAGTGCGGAGACATCGACATCGGACTCACCACTCAATGCATTCGTAAGCATAACGTCTTAAGAATGAATCAGTCTTTGGCCACAAATATACTGCTGAAGATCAACACAAAGATGGGCGGAGAGAACCTGTGTTTAGCCACTTTGCCTCCGATTGTGGGCAACAAACGGGTCATTGTTATCGGTGCAGATGTGGCCCATCCGTCGCCTTCAGACAAACTCTGCGCTTCTGTGGCGGCCGTCGTCGGCAATATCGACGCGAATTGTATCAAACATTACGCGACTGTCAAAGTCCAGCACCGATATCGCGAAGAGATCATCAATGAATTGGACGTTTTGGTGAATGAGATACTCCGCGAATACCAGCGACACAACGGAGAGCTCCCGCAGGAGATCATCTTCTATAGGGACGGCGTCAGCGAAGGCCAGTTCATGTATGTCATGGACTTCGAGATCAGGAAAATAAAGCTCGCCTTCCAGTCCCTCGGCGTCGGCTATAACCCGAAGTTGACGTTCATTGTGGTCCAGAAGAGACACCACACGAGGTACTCATCACACCATTCAATGAGTCATACAGTCATTAATCCTTTTGTCTTCAGATTCATTCCGGACGACGACAAGGATGGCGTCGGCAGAGGGAAGAACATACCGCCCGGAACTATAGTCGACAATGTGGTCGTCCATCCGACCGACTTTGACTTCTACCTGTGCTCTCATGAGGCCATTCAGGGCACCTCTCGTCCATCGCATTACTACGGTATTCATTGACTCAGTAATTATAGCTATGAATGAGTACTGATTGCCATTTGTTTGCCATTTGTTTGCCATACAGTTCTGTACGACGAGAACAAGTTCGGTGCGGACCAACTGCATGAGCTGACGTACTACCTGTGCCACACATACGCCCGGTGCACCCGAAGCGTGTCGATCCCTTCGTGTGTATATTACGCCCATTTGGCGGCACATCGAGCGCGCGGTCACATCAATGGCTCGTGCGGTGACTCGGATTCGGGCTCTTCGGGCGGCAGTCCTAACATGCGATGGTCTAAGAGAGTGGTTCCCAACTTCGATAATCTGAGCCAAAAGATTAACGTAAGAATGGATCGCAAGAGTTCTATGTATTTCTGTTAAAAGCCGACTCTTCGCCCACTCTTCTCTCAAAACACCTCTTTATCTCATTCTTTCAATTATTACTAAATTTTTGCCTAAAATATTGTTTTATCGCGTTTAATTGCCATTTGAGTTATAATTTATGACTAAATTCTTATTGTTTTTTGTTTAAAATATTTATTTTATTAAATGAAATCTATTTTTAATTCATAGATACAAATATTTATTGAAAGAATTGTATTTTAAAATTTTTATACAAAAATAAACATTTTATTTATTAATTTTGTTGAGTTTTTACTTTTAAAACTTTTCCCGCCAAAAAATAAATGGTTTAAACCATTTGTCTATTTTTTATGCTTGTTAATTATAATTAGATAAATGTTTGTCATAATATTTTGTGCATTTGCATACTAAAAACTAATGTGAAAATGTTTTCCCAACAAAAATTATTGTTTTAACACACACTAAATGACAGAAATAGCCTATAATTGTAACACCAAATCATGATATCTTTTAGTTGATTTGAAATCAAAGTCAACCAAAAAAACTTCATGAAAAGTATAATTAAGGAAAAAACCCATAGTTTTGCGAAACAAAATTATATATGAGTTTGTTGTGCACTACTAATGCAACACTCGTTTTATAAATCCAATCAAATGATGGGAATATTTCACAGCAATTAAAATGTGAGCATTTAATTGACACTTGGATTGAATGGTGAATCAATCGGATTAAGTCTTTCATTACGCTTATCATTAGAGACATTGACTGACTTTTTCTCACAAACAGTATAAAACTGTATACTGACTTATGTTCTTGACTTACTTTACACAAAGTTTTGTTTTTTAGAGTTTTGTTGTATTCAAATCAAATCAATTTTAAGTAGTTTTTGTCAAAAGTTTTACTTTTCTAACATCTCCATGAAATTGTATTCAGACTCATATCCTCATATCGAAAATATTGTATGTATTTTATTCAATATATTTTGTGACATGTTTTTGATTTTAACCTATTTATTATTGAAATTGAATTAAATCATTCTAATTGATAATTTTAAAAGTGGAAAACAAATATGACAAAACATGGTTATTGTTTATAAATATTACAATAATAGTGATAATTAAACATTAAATGGAAATATAATTGATTTGAAAGCAAATAACTTTTAAACACATGAATAATCGCTGGGAATAAGTGTTGGGAGAAAACAAATGAGTTCTCAATATAGTGTTCCAAATATAGGACTCATTGTATTTGTATTGACAAAAACAATACAAGAAGTAAAAAGTTTTCCGCAATAATTATTTAATCGAAATTCAATCTAAAATACTTTTAACTATCGGTTGAGCGATCACTTGTGTTAACAGTTTTAATATTAATTCAATTAACAGCAGATTTATAATTGTCCACTTTTGGACTGTAAGAGTGTTCAGGGTTCTTTTTTACAATTGCCTTGGACACATTTTAAAAAATTTACTATTCAATCGTGAACGCTATTTGAAATATGTTCTCTACACTAAACGTTTAAATTTTATGATTTATTAAACTATATTGTACAGTATTGTAACTTATATAAATATAGAAAATAATTAAACTCATAATAAATTAAACATTAAATTTTATAATTTTTTTAAAACACATGTTATTTTAGCCAATTATCGTTTATTTTTTTAATTAGACTTACAAAATATAAAAATATGTTCAAAAACACATTAGTTTAGCTAATTATATGTGTTTATTTTAAATTTTATTTTGATTTATAACTAACTTTCTATTATGTTTGATTAAGAAAAAAAAATTAAAATAGGTATCAATTTGGAATAATTATGAAATTGTTATTAAAACAAGAGTTAAAATATTATTTTTGGTAATAGTTTGATTTTGGTTTTTAATTGAATTATGCAATTGTATTAGAACTTCCGGTAAAATGTTAAATTTCAATTCTTTTATAAAACAATTTTAAATTTAATAACTTTTTATTCTAAGCATATATTTTCATTTTAAATAAAAAATATATAAACTTAATTAAATTATTAAATGAATATTGCAATATTAAAATAAACATATTGAAAAATATTTTAAGATTTAATAAGTAGTGAATTGAATTCAAATTTTGATGAGATAACCACAGATCTAAGGTTGGTTTAAACTTTAAATTACAAAAACATTTGCAATGAGTACTAAAACAATAATAGATATTTGCATTTTAATGTTTAATATTCTTGCATAATATTCAAAAATAGACCGTAAATATGATAATTGTATAAAATTAAAAATTGAATATTTAGTATCCCTTCAGTGAACACATTGATTATGTGTCAATAAATGTCAAATAACATAGAATTATATGACGAGCAATAATAATGAATTGATCCAAGACTAAGCCCACCTCCCTTTCCATTCCTGTTATTTCTTAGAGAAAGTTATTTGTAAAAACTTTAGTCCTATTGGTTGTAAATGTGTGATATAATACAAATTCATTCATTAGCACAACGGCTTCAAAATCTGTGTCAACAGTTATTTCTGATTACAAAATTAATTCCTCAAAATTATACCCAAAATTCTGTCAAAACGTTCACTTTCTTTGCGATAATTATTGTTTTTGGGAAAATGTTATAAATTATAGAAATTGAAGAAATACTGTTGATATTAACATCTTTTTAGTCCGTGTTTTATATACATTTAATGCATTTATTATTAATATAGCTGTGATTTTAATCCATTGTTAACAATCTAACTTTGGATTTTAATTCAATTGTGTCACAATGGCTCAATTTCTAAATACGACCACGGATATTTATTCATGGCTTATGTCCAAGGGAGGTGAGTGATCAATTTAATGTCATTTTATTTTATTTTGATAAAGTTATGGAAAACATCTAAAATTTAAACTATAAATATATATCTTCGTATTTAATTTAAAAGTTATATTAGTTAGTTATTTTAATAAAATATAATAGAGAAACAATAAGCTTTAAATTAAATTGCTAATTTTTAATTTTGCAACACAAAATATAATATAATATAATTTATTTATTATTTTGATTTAAATTACCTTACTAATTAAAATTTAATTTTATTAATTTTGTTAATTTAATTCACTATAAATATTTCTATACAATTATCCAGTGTAAAACAATTGTAATCTTCTAATAATTTTTAAATTATAAAATTAAATATTTTACTTTAAATATGAATATTTTAAATATGTATATTGCAAATCTCTCAATTATCTCTATTAATAAATTTGATAATTAATAATATGCTTAGAGTTCAATGTATAGTCAGTTTAAGATTTATGCATCAATGAACCAATACTTTTAAAATTAATTAATTAATTTGACACAAGCACTATAATTATCTAGATAATTGCTATTTAAAATATCAATTTAGATAAATCATGATGAATATAATATTTAATCAATTAATAATTTCTAATAACATTTATTTTCAAAGACCGGCGGACAATGGAGTGGCCGTTATTGGGCTCTCCCGTTCCCATTCTGGCCATTATATTGTCGTATATCTACTTTGTCAAAGTGTTGGGTCCGGCCTGGATGAGGGATAAAAAGCCATTCAGGATCGAGGGATTAATTGTTATCTATAATCTAGTAATGGTTGTCACATCGGCTTATATTTTCATAATTGTATGTATTTTTTATTTTGAAATATTTTGACATTTATCTGTGTTTTAGACTACAGTACCTGTTTGTTAGACAATATAATAAACATTGACATGAATATTTTTGTATTGAAAGGGCGGGCAAATGACATATTTTGGGAAATACAGCTTAATATGCGAACCAATTGATTACTCGGGGAGTGCCGAGTCTATGAGACTGGTGCAACTGGGCTGGTGGCTATTGCTCTTGAAAATAGTAGAGTTCGCCGATACGGTAGTCAATCATTAAATCAATTATTATTAACGTTTATTCAGTAATTGGTTGTCCACATAAAATTCAGGTATTTTTTGTATTGCGCAAAAAATTCTCGCACATATCGGTGCTGCATGTGGTGCACCACTCGCTGGTGGCCTGGGGTGTGTGGGTTGGCATGAAGTTTGGCGCCGGCGGTCACAACGCCTTCTTTCCGTTAGTGAACTGTGGTATCCATACGATTATGTATACGTACTACTGTTTGGCCGCTTTGGGCCCCGGGGTCCGCAAGTATCTCTGGTGGAAGCGGTACCTAACCATCGCCCAAATGGTTCAGTTCGTGGTGGCCCTCATTCACGCCTGTATTCCCCTGTTTGTCGACTGCGGATATCAGCCGGGATTCGCGTACGCACTCATCGCACACGCCCTCCTGTTTTGGGTCATGTTTTACAACTTCTACAAAAATAATTATCATAAATCACACACTAAGACAATACTCACGGATTCGCACCACCATCACAACCATCACAACAACAATGATTGTCAGGCATACAAATCGGTGTGCAATCAAAACGACCGGTTGTGTCAAAGTGTGACAAACGCTATGAAAGTGTCCCAAAATAATGAGTTGTTTAAAATATCCAAGATTAATTAAAATTATATTAAATTTTATTAATTTTAAATTAACTGACTGAACACCTTATGGACAAATCATTTACGGTATTTTAGATTGACAATTAGTATCAATTCCTATAACAAATCATTCAATTACATAAGTTTTAAAGTATTTATATGTTGTTATGAATTGATTTTATTTAAATAAACTTATTATAAGTAAGAAATTATATAAATAAACAAAAAATTGCAAACTTTTTAAAGAATTCAAAGGACATAAGAATTCACTGCTGAAGACCTAATCGGAAACAAAATGCGTTAGAAATCCATTTGTGTTCAGTTTATGCGGTGAGCGCCTGGTCTTCAATTTTAGCGTCCATTTGCTCGTCAGTCCCCTCCGTCGCGAGTCTCGACTTCTCCTCGTCTTCGGCCTTCTTCTTCTGCTTCTCGTGTAATCTCTGGTGTTCTCTAAGTTTGTCAGATCTGGTGAACCGTTTGTCGCATATCTCGCAACCGAACGGACGCTCTCCTGTATGGCATCGGCGGTGACGCTGAAGCTTATAGTTGGAGTCGAAGGGACGGCCACATCCCGGCCAATCGCACGCAAACGGTTTGCTCCCGGCGTGTATTATGATGTGTTTATTGAGTTTAAGCGCGTCGTTAAACCATTTGCCGCAATACCTGCACGAAGAGCCCGTTCCCGACGACGACAACAGCACAGGAGTGCCCGGCAGTGGCGGCAAATCGGCCTCAATGTCGGAGTCAGTCCTATAAGTTGCTCCGCCCCTCTTGGGTCGGCCACGTCTGGAGGGTGTCTGCACAGCACCCCCACCCCTCTTACGGCTTTTGGGCGCCGGCTTTGAGGCAAACTTTTTGAGTTTTTCGAGCATTTCCTTCGATTGTTTCACTTTTCTCTTATAAGAATTGACTTCTTTCTCCAATTTAGACAACTTTTGTTTGTCAGCCAATCGTTGGATTCGTTCGCATTCCAGTTCTGTCTGCAAAAGACTGAACGCCCGGTCCGTCTTCCACATGGCCTCCAACTGGTCGTCAAACTCAGCCAAATAGACCCAATTCTGGTCCAACTGCTCCTTCACGTGAGGTATGGACTCTCTTAACTGATGAAATACATTCAGTATGAGAAGCGCTGCCATCGATATCTCTTCCTGTATGCCGTCCTCCAGTTTCAGCGATTCTGTCGTTCATACCAAACATATTTAGACACAAAACCATTATTAAGAGATAGACTTCGTTACCGATGAGAGACTCCGCGTTATAGTAAGAGATCAACCAATTCCTCACGTGAGTACTGATGTCCAACAAATCGGATTCAGTCAACACATCCAAGTCCTTCAGTTTGAACCGATTCTGGGCTCCGATGCCACTCGTGATGAACGAGTCGTCGAACAGTTCCACGAGAGCTGCCAATTTCCAGACCACAGCCTTCGTGTCATTGGTGTCCTCCAGATGTGGTTCAGAGACAATGGCATTCAAGATGTTAATGATCGCTATCTTGTGGTTCTCCTCAATAGAGATGACCCGGTATTCGCTTAAATCAAAGTGTTGTTCATTGGATGAATCCATGGCTCAATCTGTCACCGCAACTGATCCACTGGCGAGACATAAGGACAACAAGAAATTCATGAAACAAACTTTGAATGCAATTAAAAATCAATTTAATAATCAAAAAAAGTAACGAAAAGTGTCTGAGAAATAAAGTTTAGAAAAGTTTTTGCAACAAATGAGTGGAGATATCAAGGGAAATGAGCGCCGATTAGCGGGCAGTGAATGCACTAAAACCGCGAGTTTTGGGGGACTTTTAGGGGGAATATAGGGTTCGCTTTATATAGCATTGCAAACCACTGTATATTCAATTTTTCAACCGTTTATAACAACACCAAACACTTTATTATATCAATTGTACGCTTATTTTACTCACAATTTTGGTGGCAAATGATAATTAGTACGCAAAATACTAATATTATCGCTGATGAGTGGCTGATTTAGTGGGGAAATGACGATTAAAATGAGTAATAAATGCAATTTTGGTAGTTTTGGGCGAAAATATCTTCGTCCCACTTTCGCAATGAAAATGACTGAACGCACAGTAATAATGGTCTCATAGGGTCTCATAACGAGCGCATCGACTGCACACTCGCACAACACTCACCCAAAACGGGGGACACTCTCACAATACACGTCAGTTGTGACTGTCAGTCAAATACGTCCGATAGGCTTACCCTACCTGTCCATACACCAGCATACACTTAATTCACTATTAGTTTAACCATGATTAACAATTTATATATCGATTAAATTGGTGTGAAAGTTAAGTAAAAATATGTTTATTAAAATATTTGCAAAAATATAATCAGTTATATAAACCTAAACTCTAGTTTGTGGCACTTTTTGAGCAGTCATTTAGCATTGATTACTAGGAATGAGATTTAGTTTGTAGTCAATTGTCGGGTATTTGGTTTTGAGACAAGATTTGCAACAATTGTTGCGCTGATAAGTGTTTTGCGGTGAACTCTTGTGCGATGTCCACAGCCATCGTGTAAATTGAGTTCACGTTTTGTAAATTAGTTATTATAGTAATGATTAGTTCGCTGTTCGGCTCAATCAGTATCACAGATGAGGAGCCTATGGCAGCGCCGGTATGCGAGAACATATTAGGAGATAATGGCTCAGCACTGAACGCGTACTTTGACTTCACATCTCGGATTACACCCCATCCCAGACCTGTTAATAACGTGATTAATGATCATCTGAATGATAGATTCATTAAATTAAGATTCAATACCATATCCACCCCAACGTCTGTCCCAATCAAGTCTTGTATTTTGTGACTATAATTACAATTATATATTAATTTAATGATATATTAGAAAATGACTGAGAAATTGGTGACATTAGACCAAAATTAATTTAACAATAAATTGATTTCAAGTTATAACACAATTATTAATCAGAATCTTTGGTTTCGGCTAAAATTTTGGACAACTTTTGTGTCCAATTATTTTGTTGAGTGAATTGCTGTGCGATATAGTAAGTCATTGGAGTTATTCCTGCCACAGCTGTAGAGTTGGCTATTATGGAGACAATGAGTTCATTCTTGGGCTCAATGAGCAGTATAGAAGTGGCGCCAATCGCACCGCCCGTATGTCCAAACAGATTAGGGAACACCGGCTCTGAACAGAAGGCATGTTCACCCGTTTCATCCCTAATAGCCGTCCAACCGATACCTAAACACAATTCAATGAATTAAATGTTTTGAGTCAAAGGCATGACAAGTGAGTGCAGACCGTATCCACCAAACTGTCGCTTCTCTCTGGTATTCTCTGCCTATTAACGGGTTTTTAAAAAAGTTTACAAAACATTAATTCATACAACATTTAACGCATTATTTCATTGAAAGAGCATTTAAATCGATCAAAGAGTCAAATGATTTGGTCTAATGTCAGAGTAATGTGCGAATAGGTCTCACCGGAGTCCACATCATATCCACAATCTCTTTGCTGATGAGACCGGGTTTTCCGTCAGCGGTGCCGCCCTTATAGCTGTATAGCATAATATTGCCGAACTTCAAGAGGTCGTACACGTTGGACAGTAGTCCCCCTCCGGCCCACTTGTAGCTGTTGTCAACATACGGGGCATTAGTAATGCGACAATTGGGTCCGTCCTTCATATAGAAATGGCTCCGATTGTAGATAATCGGGTCGTTTTGGTCCAGATATGTGTTCTCTAACCCCAACTCTTCTCTCAGAAATCTAATCAAATATTTTTCAAACTTTTCGCCGTTTAGTTGGCTCTCAATGACAGCACTAATCAACGTATAGCCGAGTGTCGTGTAATGGTATTTATCTCCCGGTTTGGACACCAATGGGTCGTCTTTGAACAGTTTCAATGAGTCCATCACCGATGGGAACGTCTCCTTCAGGTAGTACTCCGGGGCCCAGAATTCTCCCAATTGATAGCCGCTGTTGTCCGCCGGTTTGGTCTCTGCCTTCTGTTCCCTCTTGTAGTGTCGGATTCCTCCCAAATGTGAGGCCAACTGTCTCAGAGTGATGTCCACTCTCTTGCCCTCCCAGTACTTGTCGGGGAACTGGTCTTTAGTCAAGTACTGGTTAATAGGTTTATCCAAATCGATGCGCTTCTCTTGGATCAGTTTAGCCAACAATAACGATGTCATGGATTTGCTGATGGATGCGATCCTCATCACTGTCTTGTCGTTGCATTTGACTCCGTTCTCGATGTCTGCGAACCCTTCCGAATGGATCCATACGTTATGTCCCCTAAGACTCACTCCGACCACAAAACCGGGAATATTATTCAGTTGTTGCCATTGACTCAGTCGAGTGATACAGGAGTTGATTATGTCTTCGCAGTGTCTCACATCCACACCATTGCTGTCCACACTGTTTACGGGCTTCAGGTTCTTGTCGGCGATCGGTTCCAACGTCTGCTTTGATTGAATGTCCTCTTTATTGACACTTTTGGCTCTTATGGTGGCTATAGTGGCGGCACCGGAACCGACGGCCACACCGATAGTGATGGCAAGCCTTCGGTGAAACTGTCTGAACATGACTTCAATTTATTGTACGTCACTATCACCTGTGGATCAGTTATCTATGGTTAACGATTGCATACAAACTCTTTGCTGTACTTCACTGACAGTCCACTCAATTGTCAATAAATAGATGTGTTTTGAGCGCTACTTATGAATGCATTTATAGTTATAGTGAAATGAACTCAACATTCAGTCAATTGTGTCCTCAAGTGATGGCAATCACTGGATCTTACTTTTAGACATTATTTCATACTATTGTCATAATTTAATCACAATGTTGTTGTCATTTATATAGTCAGGTTTTCGCCACTAATAAACATTACCGGTATTAATATTAAATATTAAATATTTGGTAACATATTGCTTGAAACAAAAACATANATTTCATACTATTGTCATAATTTAATCACAATGTTGTTGTCATTTATATAGTCAGGTTTTCGCCACTAATAAACATTACCGGTATTAATATTAAATATTAAATATTTGGTAACATATTGCTTGAAACTAAAACATAATAAGCGGTTTATTATGAGAAATATAAGAATATATTAAATATTCATAAATATGTTTGTCTTATAGACTAAAATGAAATAAAAACAAGACATTGTATTTAGTGCTCAATTTTATGACAGTAATAAGCTATTCATAGTCATTGCATATTATTCTTGACATTATTCTTAACACTATATTACAATACTATATAAACAGAATCTGCAGAATCTGTATAACATCATACAGAATACCATATGAATTCATGTTATGTTTACATGAATAATGAGATATTCACTATATAAATAAATCAATCATACCAAATCACTTTTATATTGCAAGTGATTTGAAGTTTAGCCCAATTTTCAATAAATACAATCAAGTATTTTATTAAATTATTTAATATATTAATTAAGTATAAAAATATTTAAACTATTTTCATAAAATCTCAATAATTTAGAAAAAATATTAATTGTACGAGTATTATGATAATATCATGGGTCTTGGATGACATCAATAGTAAGTATAATATTTTATTAATAAATGCCTATTTTAGATCTAAATTATAGAATAACATTAACTAATTCTGTACAAATGTCAATATAATAATTTCTACTTATTGATACGCCTAATCTATTCAATGTACAATACGAGAATCATTTTAATTATTTTTGAAAACTTTTAAGGTATCAATATTTAATACGAGAGTACAATTAATACAAAAGTTTTATAACAAAGCCCAAATTAATTATTTAATAATGATGGGAATTGTAGCAAATGACAATATTTCAGTTTAGTTATCGTTTTGGTTGACACACAATATTGATTTAAAAATTTCAGATAATTAATTGCCATTTAAATACGGCACGCAATTCAATGTAGATTATAAATCAATTATCAGTGTTTACCCAAATCTATACATTTAATTGTTTCAATATTATATCATTTATTCATAAAAACTCTTGTAATTAACTTCTAATTAATTATTAACAGAGAATTGATTT